CAATGTCCATAAATTATAACGAAGCAGATTGCATAATTTTATGTTAAAGTGTATGTAATATTATTAGATCTACGAATAGAGCGATAGGAATTTTTATTTCCAGAAGGATATATAAAACGTTGGTACGAAACTTATCTATTCATTTTTCATTTTCAGGAACATTATCTTTCTCTAGTGTTATATCAAATAGATTTAATAATTATACAAAATTGAAAAGATAAATTAATATAGTTATTCGTATAAAGCAATTAATAGTGTAAGTGTATTATTTTTTCTAAGTATTTTGAATAAGTATTAAAATTTGCCTATTTATGTGTTTATATGTGATAAATGTATATTTATTCGTATTCATAATTTATACCGTCATTATTTTAGAAATATTAAATTTATAAAAGGAAGTGAATATTTCTAAATGAACGTTTGACAGAAAATTGTAGAATAGATATATTATAGTCTTGCATATTTCTTCATTTCATCTTTAGCAGCTGCAAAAGGCAGCACAGGAAGCATGTCAACAGAAGTTACAGCGAAATTAGCCTGCCGTATCCTTAGAAATAGCATTTCCCACATTGTCTAATGCAAGAACAATATAACCCGCACTAACGTAGTAATGCATAGTCCGTGCGAGAAACGTGTCTCTTAACATCGTTTAGAACAAGAACGGGTAGTTCTTGTTGTCTTGAAGGTTACATTGACTGATAAAGTGGCATTGTTCGCCTAAGTTACTAATCCAGATGAAATTATGCGAATCGTGTAAAGAAATTTTATTTGCTCTCTTAACGAAGCAGAAAATTGGTAGGATGAGAAAAGTTAATACAAATAAAACATTATATATATATTATAACACACACATATATATATTCTGTATTTTATATACATATATGTAAAATACAAAATATCTTAATATTTACTTTCTATTTTCTTATTAACTTTCTATTTTAATGATAAATAGTTTAATTAATCTAAGTGATTCTGCAGCGAAATATCGAGTTTTCTATACTTCTTTTAAAATACTATCACAACACGCGTGCACATATACATATATATATTTAAAATTCTTTTCTATTAAAAATTAAAATTTGTATAGAAACATTGGGTCTCTTCTTCTTTTAATAATTTTACTCCATTTATAAGTTATCATTATTCGTGATATTATCAAAGAAATAGATTATAAATTATTAAACATTCACAATGCAAATTTTGGTAAAATCGTTAAATCATCGTAGACAGAAAGCCTACGATATTCGTGATCGTTACCTCAAACTTGGTGAATTTCATGAAGAGGTGATGGCTCTGGTGGCTATGCAAAGCCGAATCCCGATGCAATTAATTCTCGGGCTAAATCGAAGCACGATCCTCTCGATGGAATATAATCGCAGTCTCTCGGTTGGCGTCAGGACCAAAAGTGACTTTTCGAGAGCGAACCGAGATCGCTTATCTGCGTTGAAGCCACGATTCGTGTAATTCAACGATGCCGAAACACACACTAGAAATGACGTTATTGTAGAGATGCGTCGTGAAACGAAAATCGTCGACAATCGGCAAAACGCAATATTGCTGGTCGGGCATCGCGTTGCCCACGATTAAGCTGCAATTTCATCGGACATCTACGAATTTTTTTACACTCGTCTGATGCAGCGATGCAATCGGGTCACTTCTCCTTCCGATCTGCGGATAATAGCGTAACGTCGCATCGTTAACGCGGAACGCGTTCGTTATTTCCCGTTTGTCCAGTTCCAATCGTGTCGACCCGTTGAATTTTATCATCGCACGACGATCACGTAGACGAATAACCCTACGTGCACATTTTGCTTTGCACAAATTGCTGTCTATTGAACTAGTCGACATTCCTACAGATATTATGTAAAAAAGAATGCATTTAGAAAGATAATTATATAATGAAGATTTCCGCAAAAAGAAAAAAAGAAAATATTGTGATTTTAGAAATGAAGGGTGATTTTCTTCAGATAATGTAATTCACGTTATTTGCAAATCACGGTGGGAAATTTATATATAATTTATTTGTAGGATGGTATCAGGGTTAAGCTTAAATACTTAAGGAAACACACGATGGAATAGGGAGGATTGTATCGATTTTCGTTGCAATGCTCTAAAAACCACACACAATGTGTTAGACTGGTGTTGTGGGCAGTTCTCTCTTATCTAATCCTCTTAGGGTGATCTCGAAACTCGGATTTGCCTCGGACCTACATCACTTTCAACTTGTTCCTGACAGGGCATAACAATTTCCACTGAGATGAACATTACTAGTTTACCAGTTAAGAGGCAGATGCAAGTCCTTCTCCACTTATTCCTCCCCATCTCCAATTACGAAAGCTAGCGCGTTTCCGCAGAAAGTTTTGGTTTGCTCGACGTTTCTCGTGCGCGCGTCGTTGGATAAACTGTTTAGACATATCCTAGGACGAGCGAATACTTCGAAGTGACGTTCGAATTTTGGTACTTACCATGTCAAGTAAACCATGTCGGAGGCTCTAAAGGATCGACAGACCAGCGAAAGTCGATAGACATTGCGGTTGTGACTCGAAATGAAATCTATTTAGTTGAAAAGTTAGAAAAGCAGTATAATATAGATATGATATAGATATGAAATCGGATATCGATAATAATTGAAAATGGAATTAATTTTCCAATGTGATACTCCTTATTAACTTTGATGATATTAAGTTGATGATAAATTGTCGATACTGAGGTTTCAAGATATTTATACCCTTTAAAGTTACGAAAATTTATTTATATTCGTCGGTTTATCTTTATATTAATTGTTTATCTTATATTAATTGCGTCAGTTTTTCATTTGGCGAAGCGATCATGAAATAAAATTTGTTATATACTATATTGATGACTCAATCTTTTGCTATTAACTTAAGAAGATCGCACTAAACACATATTTCTCTCCTAGAGACATACATTATTATTATGTTAAAATACGCGTATATGTAAATATAAGTCTTTATTCTCCTTTATTCCACTATTCAATATAATTTTATTCCACGGCAATTTAATATATATATATATATATATATATATATATATATATATTAATGTATGTATGTACATATATATGTATATATATATATATATATATATATATATACACGTATGTATATAAATAATATGAAATTGTTTTTTTAATATGAAACAGCTAGGGGTCACACACACAAATACAAATATAGCTACGAACATAAGCGTAAAACGAAGGAAAACTTGGCGCGCTTGGAATATTTTAGTTTCTACATTTAATCTGATACTAAAAATTTCAGCTTGTCTCTGCCTCGGAATTCTTGTTCTTAACCTTTTTACTTTCTATTTTCGTCTTTCTGACGACGACGATGACGACAAAACGACGACAATGACGATAAAGTTAGATACCGACCCTATTAGTTGTTGTAGTTACATATACTTATGTACATTACACATATACATTCTACACATTAAGAAAAATACAAGAGTTGAACTTATATTGTTAGATGTCTATACGGCTGCTTGAAGGTTTTTCTTTACCTTCAACTGACGAGAATAGAAATGTGTTAGGAATATCAAATATTGAAACAAGAAGCGAAGAATTTAATTCGATATTCTATATATAAGACATTAATTTTACTCGCATATCATCTCTCAAATTCTCTAATTTAAGTTGAGATACAGAATAGTTAATAAAGAGCAGTTTGGATAGAAAATAAAAGAATCATAATAATTATATGTCAATAGATATATGAAATTATATCATTTTTTAATTAAATCATTTAACTGGATGATATATTATATATTAATTTTTATCAATACTTACCTTATCAATATTCTTTTCCAAAATTATATAGATGTCATTTGATATAAAAATATTTTTTTAATCGTATAAAATTTCATTAAATTCTCAAAATATTCGTTTCGTAAAAATTTTATCCTCGTATTTGGCTCATTGAATATGTCAAGAGAATGGAAGAAGAGAGATAGAGGTGAAATAGAGAGATAGAGAGATGGAATAGAGGATAAATAGCGTGCAAAAGGTATCTTAATAGAGTTTATTCTTTATTTTAAGTATCTTGTGCGATCTACTTCCAATTCTGTGGATCATCCAATCACGGCACAATTTTTCAAGCTTTGTCGACCCTCGTCACTATTGAAAGCTCGACGCGATACTTGTTCACAAAAAGATTCGCGGTAGGTCGAGTAACCCATAGTACCGCTTTTTTAATGCTTCTATTGTGTGCTTGGCAGTGGGTCAAGAGATTTACTGATTTAGGCGTGAAAGAAAGCGTCTTGCATTTGAAAATCTTCTCCACTGAAGTCAGACTACATGCCGGTAGTGAATAGTATTAAAGTAGCACTTGTTCGCATGAGTTCCTGACGTGATATAACTTGATCTATAACTAGCAAAAATTACAATAGTCTTTTCCTTATTTTTAGCTTTAAAAGTGTCATAATAAAAAATGTAATGAAAACAATAAAAAAGAAAATAATATAATTATTTAAAAAGAGTATAAAAATATTTTTTGTCTACAGTTTATTGCAGCGTATGTTTTGATTTAATAAATCTTTAATTAATTGATAATATTTGGTTTTTTATAAACAGGGATGTCGCCAAAATTATAAAATGTATACAGAAAAATATTTGAAGCACAACAGTTTTATCATTTTTATATTTATTTATGTAAACTTTGCGCACAGAAAAGTAAAATTTTTTCGTACATCGAAAAATGAGTTATATTTCTTTCAAATAAATATATTTATGTAAATATATTATATATATGTGTAAATATATTTATAAAAATCTATATAAAAATCTCATTTCAAGATGTTTACAACGAAAAATATATTTGTTTCATTCTTTTATTATCAGTATTATAATCGAACACTTGGGAAATCGTTGTCTCGCATTTCCAACGACGTCGTATCGATAACACCCCCGGGCGACGACGTATATACTCGCAATTGACATTTATGTGATCTCATGCGAGCTTCTCTCTCTTTTTCTGTTTCAGTCGCCGCTCTGAGGCTACTTAAAATAAATGTCCCGGCATACATCCTCAGAGGCAAGACCGCACTTCTGGAATGCAGGTGAGAATGTTCGCCATATAAGCCATATAAACATCAACTGCTTTCTGTGCGCGCAAAGTAGTAATATTGGCAAAGTCATAATATTGGCAATCGTGTGCGCATTTCTGTCAGATTATCGTGGTGCTTTACCACCACGATCGTGGTAACAAGATTTTATCATAATGTCATATATGAATTTTAAAGATGAAGTAATTATATAGCTAAATGATTAAATATTACAAAACTATTTCTCTCTTAATATTGGAAAATATATATTGGTTTAATATCAATTAATATTGGTAAATATATCGTATCTGAACTTTAGTATATTTAAATTAAATCGTTATAAATTAGTAATGCGTGATTAATTTTCATATCCGTACATCGATTACTTGATTATTGTTGTTAAAAATTTAGTTTGTGCAATTGCTAAAATAAAATAAAATCATTTTATTTATTTTTACGCAATTTTATTTGTACATATTTTATATCTATCTATATAAATAAATAATTTTTTATACTTTTAAAAATATCCAAAATTTTTCACTTATGTACCAATATAAAAATCTTAAAAAAATCTTAAAATTTTCGCAAAACGATTTTCTTTATTCAAGTAAATTAAGCTAAACTTATTATATTTTATTACATGTATGATTTACGCAATTATATTTAGAATTATATTTTTATTATAAAAATGAATTACAATTTATTTCTCATATTATGTAATATTGAATTGAAAAATAAATATTATAATTGGCGTCAATTAGCTTATAGAAAAAATCACAAGTGCTTTATAAAAACATGCTTGTCTTTAATTTATGATTATGTATATTTAAAAAGAAAAAATCCATGCTCTTTTCAGAAAATATTAAACAGTCGACCCCAGCTCGTATTTATTATTTCTTATATTTTTCGCTCGGTTTCTTTTTCGATAAAGCACTCAATTATGAAAATATCAGGGAGAATTTCACTGTGAAAAGTCAAAGCCTCTTGCTTGCTTTTTGTTCATAAAGCACGTAAACACGATCGTGTTAAACAGGCATGCACTGCCAAGATGTATTCTGCGACTTATTGATCAATACACACTCTTATTTTATACGCAAGAGAGATAATGCGCATCTCGTTGAAACAAGACGCTACTTCACCCTCATTACATAATTTCTGCATTCCTCCTCTCAGAGCACCTATTACCTTCCTTTCTCGCTCCGGCACATCCTCCCTCATTATTCTCTCCAATTACAACCTCCGATTTTACGACGACCTAACAAAATCTCGTTCGGCAAACTTCGTTAAAAATCTAATATCTTTTTTTTAGGTATTATAACTATTAGGATCGATAAAAGTGATTTTTGAATGATGAAGAAATCTTTTGAAATAAAAAATGTATAGAAGAGTTTTATATTAAAGTAAAAAAAAAGAGAGAGAGAAATAGATATTGTTTAATAAAACATCGGACGAAAAAGAGAGACTTTATAGCGACTCTTAAAAAAAACTATTTTCTCAAAAACAACCGATAAAAAACGCTATACAAAACAGGAAAAAAATAAAAATACATAACCTACGGTAAAATTGAAAACCTCTTTTTAGATTGTCGAGTTCCCGTAATTTGCACCGGTCGTGATTACGTTAGTTTTGCATTCAATAATTCAATTGATTTACTCCATTAATCAAGTTATACCTACGTAAAGAGGGCTCTGAAGGCTAATTTGATCAGTTTTCGAATGACCAGCCTGTAGAATCTCTCGCAATGGCATTCCCGCCGCGATATAACAACGATAAATGACCGGTTCGGTGGCGCAGGGCTCGCTAAATAATTCGTCGGGGTATACGGACCGCACAATAAAACCGAAGTATCGCGGCATAATCACTAATGTATATCAACCCCGGTTCCAAGCCAACGGGCGTGAATTCTCTATATGTATGCACAGCGCGCAGAGTGCGCGGTGTGCGGCGAAACCACTGTTCGTTCGTTACAACGCAAATGGTAGATCGTAATGAAGGACTAGACCTCCCAGTGGATAGTAGATTTTACACGTGCGCCGAAAGCGAAAAACTATACCATCACTGTTGCATCGACGGCGCGGATACGCGCTCGTACAAAATCCATTTCCATCCGGAATTATTAAGACCGCGTCGGTGGTGCTGTAGGAAGTAAAGGATACCGTAGCGAGAAGATCGAACGGAAAATAGAAGAGCAAAGCCCCCGAGAAAATCCGGCGGGAAATGCGGCCGCGGAAGAGACAATATGAAGGTAGACAAAGCCGTTTCTCGCATTTACCCCGCAAAGGTAAATCGTGTAAGCGGAACTCATAAAGGCATCGGTAAGAAGCGAAGCAATAAAGTACGTATCGAGTTTGCGGTTAACGTTAAAGGAAAACGATAAATAAAATTACAAATAAAAGCTGACGAGAAAAAGGAGGGAGCGAAGATAGAACTGAGATGGGAGAAAGGAGGTTGAGATGTGCTAGCCGGATCGAACAACGAAGAAATCTCGATACTTTTTCAGTCTCTTCGTACTTTATTTATTTATTCGCTAGAGCGCGGAGATGGGTCGACGCGGGTAAACTTCTCGCTCTTTTCTCTCTCTTTCTCGCTCTCCTCTCTTTCCCATCTCTCGCCAGCGACTTTCTTCCTGTTGGAAAAAGATGCCCCTCGACTCCTAACTCGACCGCGAGAGTCGTAACTCTCGCGAGATTTCTCCGCGTAAGTTCTTCATGGACGCTTTAGACGATTGCCGGGCTGCCACGCGATCGTTTTCTCTAATCTTCCGATCGGAATTCCATCGCTGACAGTGATGGTTGCTGCTGCCGCGGATCTCCGTTGAGAGAGAGAGAGAAAAAAAGAAAGAACGAGAATGCAGAGAACGAAAGAAACAGCGAACCGTTAGTCAGCAAAACTCGTTTCAGCAGAACGATCCGTCATCGAATGTGGGTGGACGGAGAAAGAAGGAAGAAAACTAGGGGGAACGCGGAGAAAAGAAAGAAAGAGATAAGCGATTCGGTTGCCAGCGGAAGGAGAGCACCTTGAAGGTCCCCGTAGGGTCAGGCAACGACCATGGATTTTCCACTCCTTTGCGTGCTTCCCGAATATACATGACAGATCGATTTACTCTTCGCGATACGAATGTGTACAATAGCTCGAACGTGCCGTTCGCATGGCTCGTGTATTTGATTCGCTCGCATCTCGATGATAACGATACAAATCGTAATAATAAATTGCTAAATCAGACATACCAATAGGGAAATCAGACATACCAATTTGCAAAATTTTCTCGTTTCTTATCTAAACTTTTATTTATTTCTTTTTTTTAATTTAATTTTGACATTAAAATTTATTGCTTATTTATTTGTTTATCCATTAATTCAACGCGATTGTGGCCCATTTTTCAAATATAATATTTAAAGATTATATGACATAATCATTATCCATACAATTAAAATTAAGAATTTTAACTGCACCGTCGTTTTGATTGCCACTTGTCGATTTATAAACCTATAATCTATGTGCTTCAATATATTTTCATCCTTTCCAACCCTTCGATCGGGACCAGCTTGGCTGCCCAAGTCATCCGCTAGATGGATGGTAATTGCATACCCTAAGTTATCACGAAATCGAAGTTTCTTCCGGTAGGAAACGACAAGCTTCACGGAATCTCTATTAGGGAAGCTCGATCGAAGTGCCGCATGGACGTATACACGTCTAGTCTCTGTAAGAGTCGTGTAGTCACCGTGTTTAGTCGCACACGAACGTCCGCTCACACGGAACCGCGGAGTCACCTCGAGCGGAAGATAATTAAAGCGTAATTATATACTTTGGCGAGACAGAGATGAAGGGACGAGCAGAAGATTGGTGTAATGATGTTTAGTCAACACGTCGTAGATCTAAACGTCGTAATTGATGCGGTACTTAATGATTATTACTAAGAATATAATTAGTGTGAGATATTACTGCAAAAATATATTAGAAATATTCTTTGTACTTTTACAATTGAAGGTGGATTATATGTGAATTATATGAAAAATATTGAAGTTTAATGATAATATTAAAACGTATTTTGTGTTTCTTAAGAACATATAATAAAAAAAAATTGTGTGTAAAAATTCTATTATACATTGTAACGAGAAAGCAACAGAATATTTTTTCATCTTTTTGCATCGATTAAACTTTTTTCTGTGAAAATTATTAAAAATAATCAGTTAATTGGAAGCTAATTATTTTGAAAATATTAATAGATTAATAACGCATTAGTAAATTATATTTTACAGAACAATCTATTTTTTAACAAACTCTTACAGCCTACAAAATACAAATAAAAAAGGACATCTACGATTTTCGCGTATTATTTTAAATACAGGGTAATCAAAGAATAATATTTAATAGTAATTGTTAATATGATTATGCAAATATGTGGTGGGGAAGGTAACAATTTTGTACACGAGGATTATTTTAAATAATAATATTTTCTCTCTTATATTACTTTTAAATAGAAAACTATCATTTTCTGTCTAAAGCTTGAAAATGATTGGAAAATATTTGAAAATTATCTGCATATATTATGTATGTGTATTGATTATTTATATAACACTTCCAAAAAGCGGCAGACAGATTTTCACTTCAAATTAACATGAAAAATATTATTATTTAAAAACATCTCTTATTCAAAAGTAGTCTCTCTCTTTTCTTCTCATCTCTATTTTATGTCAAGAAAGATTATCTTGATATATCTACGGAGCACCGAAATTTGAACTCGCAGATTTATCCCTGCATAGAATATGAATATCGTCGCTTTGACTTTATATTTAATGCCAAGATGTACATCGTCGGAACAGGAGTCCCATAAATTCAGCTTCGCGGAGTAGTCTGCCATGCGTCGCAAGAAACGAAACGCATGAAGAACGATGAGCTTGCCCGAAACTCGGCAAACCGTCCGGCAACACGTCGATTCGATGACCGAGCCGTGAATTATTGGATTTCAAAGTTCAGAAGTAAAATTCGTCACATCGACCGCCGACGAATCGGCA